TAGGAGAATGAAAAAAGAAATGAAAAAAAAAAGGTCTCTTCTAAATTCGTCTTTTGCTATCGCGTCTGACAGCCGCACGAAAGAAAACGGATAATAAATATACTAAAAAAGAGGAAGTTGTTTTCCGCTCAAAGGATTTATTAAGAATCGTCGTCGGTCGTAGTTTCGGTCTCCTTTACGATGCGACGCGAACTGCAATCAAGACCAGACTGCAACGGCCGCTATCGTTGAGATACAGTTGGTTGCACGGCGGATAAAAGATGTACAAGTGCCGGTGTTTCACGTAAATGAAGAGAGCTCGGATGAAGTGTTCCCCTTGCCTGTGAGACGAAGCGAAGCGAAGAGAGACGAGGTGGAATATCGGCGCCGAGGCGCTTTGTAATTCGCAGTTTTCCATTAAGTTATCCACTCCCCGTATCCTGTAATAAACTCAGAGAGAGAGAGAGAGAGAGAGAGAGAGAGAGAGAGAGAGAGAGAGAATGAAAGGGAACGAGGGAATGCGCCGGACCTCGCCTCGCCTCGCCTCGCCTCGTCTCGCAACGTCGAGCAGCACGCCCGAGGGATCTGAGGACTCGTCGACGACGGAGACGTACGGCAGCCAGTTCTCGTAGTCGGTGTCGGACTTTCGCAATCATCGTTGTGGAGCCCGACGTTAACCCCTGCGGGAAACGCGTGGCCTATTTCGCAGGAGCGAGCTACGTGTAGCGCCCGTATAGCAAAGCGCGTTCGCAAATTTAATAATCGTTCCGATGCGTAAGCGGAAATTTTATTACCGCCGCGTAGAATTTGAATTCCAGTTTCTTCGCCGACTTAATCGCCGGCGCGGCGATATAATTGAATTTATTTTCAGTATGTGCAAACATGCGTTTAAGTTAACCAATTTTTTACAGGGGAAAAGAGGGGCATTGTAAAAAATTCAATATTAATTGTCGTAATTAAATCTTAATGGATAAACATTTTTTTATAACTGTTAATGAAATACACGAATGATATTATATTATTATATGTACAAATAATTAATAACATTTGTATAATATCACATGATGAGATCGCAATAAAAATTACATCAAATTTTATGAGATCACATTTTATTTATTTATTTTTTTTTTAATTCGACTTTTCTACTGAATGTATTTTATGAACGTTAGCTGAAAATTGTATTTCATACTTATTATTTCACTTATTTTATTTCACACTTAAAAAAGGACAATTTATAATCATATCCTTAATTTGAGACAAAATTTGAGACGCGGCATAAAGTAGGAAGAAAAGTTAAAATTTGGGATTTGTTCTTCCTGATTTAAGACGGTTGGTCTTCTTGATTTAAATACTTTATCTTTCCATTTTGGAATACATTTCGTTACCTTTCCTTTTCTCTCACCTTTATATTTGATCTATTTAACTTTTGTATTTGCCATATTGTCAAATATATGAAACATACATAATAGAATTAAATCAATTAACTACATTTATTGTATATAAAAACAAGAAAACTACATCTAATAAGTTCTAAAACATTCTGTTTGCAGAATGCAAATAAATTTCTGCCTTATGGCGATCGATAGAAGAAGATTCAAAGTTTTTTAGGTGGGAAAAAATATTTGTTAAAGCAATTATAAAAACTTCACTAATTTAGCAAATCTACAGCCGTAATATACAGACAGCCAGTTTTCTATGTTAAAGTAGTAAAGTTGTAGAGGTAGAATAAAATTAGCGATTATAGATTAATTATATTTGTTGTAATGTAATAACGATAAATTAATACAGCAAATTAATGCAACAAAAATAACTTTCTATGAAAATCATTATATACATCAAAATTTTTAATGAAACTATGCTATAATTAAGATGACGTATACTCTGTTACTGCATTAAAGAAAACTTATTATACTAGCAATTTTCATCAAACCTTTTTTGTTAATTACTTTTTAACGGATAGCAAGCGACGACTAAAACTTGTTGGAGGTTACTCAGGGTGATGACCTTGACAACATATGTTAAGGTCAAGGTTGTCGGCGGATGCTCCCCTTTTCTGCAGTTTTGCCAAATAAAACATTATTAAAATTAGATAAATATTTTCTATTGTTCTCCATTGAATTAAATAACATTGATTCTATGATCTTTTGAAACGGGAATAACATATTGTATATAAATTTAATTTTATATATTCTTACGTTTAGTTTAAATCTCTTAAGGGGTTTGCTGGTTATCGCCATGTCGTGATCCATTGCTAATGCTTTTAGCAATTTTGCGACACGATGATAACCCGCAAACCCTCTGGCACTTTTGAAGAAAACACCCGTGAAAGCTTCAAAAGTATAAATCTTTATCCGATATTATAATCGTATAATACTGGCGCGATATATAGTATTTGGCGCGAAAACCGACGTGTTTGATCATTTTGATTCTAGATTTAAGAATTTTTCATTTAAGAATAACATATTCTCCTTTCAACAATAAATGATATGATTGTCTCTATATCGATCCTATTCTATGGTAAATTAAAGAGTAATAGCATTGGATTCGAAAATTTTTCTATGACTGTGAAAGTCGACAATTAAGCAGAAGATACATTGCCTTTAGAAAGCTACGTTACATTTTAATCTGTCGATTTGAAACGGAAAGGAAGTATCGTTAGCAACCTATCTTTCACATACCATCTGAAAATATAATCTCTTTTTGTATATTTTTATTTAGTACAAACTCAATTCAGATAAAGCGTCCGATAGTACGCTTTGTAATAAGGTTTTTGTTTTATCGCACTTCGCACAAGTCTATAAAATTTAAGTCACGTACGTGGGTCGTATTTACGGAAAGTTGTAACATGTTACCGTGGAAAATTGCTGTTGAAAATCGCTTTCTGCTTAGGCTCCCATCATATAACGTGCAATCGGTAATGCGATACGCGTCGTTTATTTTACAAAGTGTCACGAAGAAACCACCCCGAAAATTCGGTCGACGGGAAAAAATGGCGCAACGTATCGCTTTCGCATAGGCGCTTTTTTTCGCGAGGGGAAAAAAGAGAGATTCAATTCGTATATATATATCATCTCACGACCCGTTAAAATTATCTGCCTGTAGCCTCCTGGTTTCATCCCCTTTTTCTCTTCGCACCGGCTCTCTATCTTGCATCTCTCCCTCCCAGGAAAGACGCGCACGGCGGAATATTAGTACGTATAACGCACCACCCCCTATGTCATATCCGCTCGATAAATTCCCGGTTGGAGCCGTTAGGCGCGACCAATAAAACCGTAAAACCTTTTAACTAATGGCCCGGCTTTACGGCGACATACTTTAATGCCTCCCCCGTTTTTCGTTATATGCGTGCATCGCGATGCCGCTGGCCGAATGGTGCGATTGCGTTCAGTCATTAAGCGTAACTAATGTTTACAGTGTTCAGAATATACCAGCGCGCGAATCATCCGCGAAACCAAAATCAACGGCGAAATTTTCCATTAACGATCCGCAGAATCGATAGCTGACTGAACCGCTCAAATTTATTATGAATTAGAGACACGCTCATTTGCGTTTATTATTTTTGATCTGATTTTGTTCGATATGAATTACTTTTAATCTATCCAGACATTTCTCTGTCGACGCACATGGATTATAACGGATTTTTATTTTTTAATTTGTTTGCGGTAATTTCTGGATTCGTATTAATATTTTTTATTTATTTTGAAGAGCCTTGCACACCATGAAAATTGTGTTTCAACAATTTCCAAGTTTTCCACGTGATTTAACAAATTTAATTTTATAATCTTGTAACTGTTTTACGCCAGTGTTTTTCGACCTTTGTCACATTAAACAGAAGTGGGTATAATCGATTCATAAATGTAATTAATTACAATTGTAATTACTTTAATTACAATTCGTATTTGCAATTGTAATAAAATTACTGTAATTGCAATTAAAATAATGGCAATTAAATTAATCGTTAGGGACGCAATTATACTGTAATTGCAATTAAAATAATTGTCATTAAAATCTTTGCAATTAAAGTAATTGTTGAGTTGCAATTATGTTTAATTCAATTACAGTTATAATTGTAATTGCACACGATTACTTTCACGATTATGTTAGGCAAAATTATAAGTTGAATATAGAGTTGGCGCAGATCACACAACTTAAATGTAATTGATTTAATAATTTAATAAAAATAATTCAAGAGTTAATTATGATTCCACAGTAAGTATAATTAAATTTTGAATTATTTTTAGGGTTACAAGTAATGCGTTACTTGTAATGAGATGGTAAAAAATCGATGTTTTTTACATATTTTTAAAGTATAATATCTTAAGAACGTTTTTGTAGAGTTAATCCGGCGAAAAATAGAGTTACACAAATTATAGACGAGTAGATTCGAGTGCGTTGAAAACAATAGGTAGGCGCGCCTGCGACAGAACAGTTCAAGTTGTCGCACAAGTAAAAAAAAGTCTTTTTAGTTTTTTTGCATAGTCAAAAACGAGCAAAAAAATTTTTTATGAAAAATCGTTAGATTAAATCCGTATAACAAATCAAACTAACCAAGACTTCTTATAAATCATCAAAAACTTAATTTATTAAGTATTATTTACTATATTTAAAGTAAATGAACTATATCAGTAAAAATTTTGTATAATATTATTTACTATTATAAAAAAAATATTAGAAATCCGAAATATTTATATTTCGTATTAAAAAATGAACTTTTTTAAACCCTTTTGTCATATATATTTTGCATTTTTGTCGTATATCCCATAGGGGTAGGATATATGGCTACTCATAGGGGGATGGGGGGGGGGTATGTATGGGGTTATGGCTCATAAAAAAATTTACAAATAATGCATATTAATAAGACGTAAAATGACATAATAACTTATAAAATGTGTTTATAAAGTTTTATTAAGGAATAAGAATAATAAATGTGTATATGAAATAATAAATAATAATTACAATCTTCCCAGATGTATTACAAGTGTTATGACATGGGATACATATTTCAAATAATGCGTTTTTATTGTATTTAGTGCACTGAATTTAATCTGCGCACTTTTTGTATGCTTTGGGCATAAATCCCGTTTTTTAAAAATGCCATATATCCCAAACAAATGGGATATGCAATACAACAAACTCTCTCTCTAAACAAAGAATACAAAAGCAATGTACTTGTATTTTGTTATACAACATGCTATTCCTCTACACTCATGTATCACGAAATAATCACTAAGTCTTTTGCATGTCTTACAGTAATTATTTTATGTAGATAAATATAATTTATGATGGCGCTACTTAACACAGTGACAAATCGATTCAACTCATAATAATTTCATTAATATTAATAGTAAGAAGCTGAAATTCTAACACAATACTAATATAACATAAAGGTATGTAACAGAGTAGTTGTGGGAAAATTACTCCCACTCCTTCTATTTTTTCTGATTTCTGCAGCCTAAATCCCAGCGCGGCGTATTTGCCGGAATTATCCTAACAAGTTCGACTACTTGTAACGTTTGAGATTTTTTAATACTGACAAAACAATATCCAATTGAATATAAATATTAATAGGTATTTTATAAAATAAAAAATATTTAAAAAAAATATTAATAGTAACACAGACTCTTTGTTAAACCATATCACAAGTTAGTGTTAAATTAAAAATTTTGCGAATAGTCAAGTTAAGTATAAATAAAAAGGTATATTTGTGAAACAAATGTCTGAAAACTGTTATATGTATGTACTTAGACATTATTAAAGTCTAGACGTAACTAAAACTTTTTTTAATTTTTTTAAATTGTTTTATAGTCAGTTTTCTATCAGATTGAAAAATAGTTAAAGGATTAACACTCTGTATATTAATACGGCCATAAAATTATTAGAACCTAAAGATTATTAGATCTATAAAAATGACCTAAAACTTCGTTTGGATTGCTGCTGAATTATCTAGCTCTTGGACAAAAATTACCTCAGTAATCAATCTCTCGGCTTGGACCTTTTTAATTTCTTGCACCATTGCGGTAACAAAATGATCTTTGACCTTTGTTATTATTAGGTTTTAATTCGTGACAAGATAACTCATCTATTCTGTATATTTTATACAACTACAGTTCACAATTTATAATATGTGTTATTAGTTAATTATACCTACATTTATTTGCATTGAGAAGGATCGAAACGTCGGTTGAAACGGTCTTAAGCGGATTAATTTAGATGAATAAATGAAATTTGTTTATCAATAAACCGTGTAAGCTCTTATTGGTTTTTTGATTCTTTTTTATTAGATTTTTTATTTTAATATTTTCATTTTCTAGAGAAGTGATTTTATGGAAGCAGTATCGTTTTAATTAAAATCAGAATAAATTCAATATAATTTAAACACAATATATAATTTGATATTTGAATAATTTTTTTCCTAATTTTTAAGAGATTTTTTTTACTTCGTGTCTCACTTACTTTTTTTACTTACATACTTAAATATTTTTTCTTCTTTTTACATTCTTAAAAATTTTTGCGGCACACCAGCGGGCATGCCGGATAAAAAAGTCCTGCATGAATTTGATAAAATTCATTCGTGTAGAGCGTTTCACAAGAGATCGTCCCACGAAATAATAAGATGTCCCAGCTTAAATGAATATTCAATGTGATAAATCGATTAATTAATTAAAGTCGTGAATACTTGCCGAGGATGTATCCCGCGCGCGCGGTCATTAAAATCACGAATACGATCAACCATACTTGTAACACGACAACTCATCCTCACGACCAACTTTTGTTGCAGTTTCTGGATGCCTGCGAGAAGTTCGGCATCGTTAATGTCGAGAGGAGCCAGAACACGTATGTGGGCGCCCTGGTGTTGCGACAGTCCCTCGACTACCGGGAGAGGCCTTTCTATCAGCTACTACTGCGAGCGAGCGTGAGTCTCTCTCTCTCTCTCTCTCTCTCTCTCTCTCTCTCTCTCCCCCCCTTCCCACAATTCTCCCTCAATTCGTGGATTGATTCTAATTATGCACACCACGAAGGAAAGCCAACTGCCGGTTCGTTTCTCGCAAATGCATCAGATAAACCCGTCCAATATCAGAGTTGTGCGAAGGATTTGTGGGGCCTTAGTGCAAAGTAAAGATAGGTCCCTACCTGTTCATAAAATTTGAATTAAAAAAGTTCTTGAAGTGTTTGAAAAATATAACAAGACAGTATAATTAAAATTATAGCGGATCACAAATTATTAATTATGTACTTCCGTTATAGACAATTAAATAGATGTAAAAGCCAGGTTAGGTAAAAAATTGCATCACAATTTATAATTTCACATTGAATTTTGCATATAAAGATTTTATTTAATTTAAATTATTTTCTATTATTTTATGAAGTATAAATGAAATGTAAATGAATATATTACTTCCATGTACAAATTAAATTAAATAGAAATTAATTTAGATAGAAACAATAGAAGCAATAAAATAAATCAAGGGAAAAAAGATTTGTTAAAACAACTGAAAAAAACCTCACTGAATCAATAAATCTACAATGTACAGACAGTCGGTTTTTCCATATTAAAGCAGTAAAGTACAGCTGAATAAAATTAGCGGTTGCAGATAATCATCGTTGTTATAATAGCACAGCGCAAATTTGTTAATACAGCAAAGATATAAATTTTCTATCGTTACATTAGCAATTCTGCAAGGCTCACAATAAGATTTAATTGCAAAGACAATATGCTCGTGAACGTTTTCAGAACGAGAAAGACAAAGGAGAGAAATCGAGTTAATAATCGTACACGAGCGCCATGTTCTTTCGACCAATGTAATAGATATAAATTAAATCGATAAGATATGAGAGATTTAAGTACGTTAAATGTTTTAACAATAAGAATAAAGTGAACTTTCGGTTTTTCCTTTTAAATTATTGCAACAAGTAAAACTTTGGAGTTCCTGGAGCACTGGAGGAGGCCCGCTAATGCGTGTTGCGCACTCCTCTTTGCACGGTCCTGCAAGATGTGCAACCGTAACACCGAGATTGCGGGAGAATTCGGGATGCGAGCGAATTTGCGAACTAACGAGGATGCGAGAATGACGTACCAGACGTGCGTCGGGCGGACTTGCGTGTATCTGTTGTCGGCCAGTTTGACTTGAACACCAAACCATCCCTCCGTTCAGAGCCAACCAAACGAGCGATTCTCGCAGCAGCGTTAATTAACGGTTGAACGTTTCTCGATAATTACGTCTACGACGAGGTTTAAACAACATTTCTATATCAGTAGCTTTTGTTCGCGCTGCAGTAGCCTCACTTTGATTTAAATTGTATCTGTTACATATTAAACGTAATTCTCTTTTTAATCTGAATTCCTTTTTTTTCATACTTACGCGCAGTACGAGCTCTAAAGCCGGTTGGATCGACGTGCTTTCCTCCACGAAGAAGGGCCTTTCGTATTATTCAAAATGAACTCCGTGAGCTCCCGGCGAGCGTGAAGAACACTATCGAATTTACGTGACTTCAAAGGGTTTACAGATAAAGTAGAAAGGCAGACGGCGATGGACCTGGTATCCGGAAATCGGAAACCTCAGTTACCTCGGTTATCCTTTGATTCCCATCGACGTCGTTCCATTACATTAAAATACATCGTAAACATACATAGAAAAAGTCTAAGCTCGCCGTACCGGCTTCCCGTACCGCAACTTGAAAAAAAAAAAAAAAGCAATCAGGATCTACTTTATGCGTTTTCATGCGCGAAAACGTATCCCGGGCCGCAAAGCGGCAAACATTGAGCTCATTTAGATTTTACTTCGCGAACGTGCCCGTATGATCGATGCGGTTTTCCCACCCGTACATCGATTTTGCGGTATTTTCCTTTCGCCGCAATATCTGAGGAATATAACGCGAAATTGAAGAAAAACAGTAAATATTTGCCCGCCGTACGAAAGCGCACGAGCAATGTAATGGCACGTTTTCTCATCGCACATTTAGCGTTAAATGCGAGTCTCGTCTCTCATCGACGCGTTGCACCGCAATCTTCGCGTCAGACACGTAGGGAAATAATAAAAGAAAAAAAAATACTATATCTATGAAGTATATCTATGAATCGTCGGCGACTGTAGCGACTGAACAGCAGACAAGGAGTCTCTTCTATATATTTTCTATCTGTTTGAATTTAATATCCTTATGCAATACTTATCGTATTTACTGTAATTTGTAGTTATTTTTTGGAGCTACTATATGTTTATAGTTGTTTTAACCGTACGAAGTCAATTGTACTATTAATAATAATCACATACACTGTTTGAAAATCTTTATTTTTTTTTCTTAATATATTTTTTTGTTATTACTACCACATAAATAGTAAGCAAAAAAATACATTCGCCATAATTGCGATTGTCTATTTTGTTTATTTTTATATTTGGATATTTTTATACCATATATATATTAATATTTGAAATTAGAATTTATAGTACAATTTCGTCATGTTTGAGGAAACTATCATATATGGTTATTATTATCAACATTTATAACCATAAACCTACTATAGAATCCTCCCCTGATTATAATTATTTCACTATGTAATTATAATAGTCATAAATACCAAACACTTTTCTTTCAGTGTAGTAGTACTGAAATTGCTGAAATTGAAAGCTTTCATATTTGAAAGTTTTCCGGCTTCCTGGAAACATATTTTTCGAAAAACCGGAAAAAATCAACGTGTATAAACACACTAAAAAATCGAATTAAATTTTGAACGATTAAACGGAGATTTTTTTCCATGCGTCGGAGATTTGTTAGGAAAGCTAATCTCCAGCTGAAAACCGGAGAGGTGGCAACCGTGCTTGTAATCCAAATGAGAAGTATTAGATCTTGGGGAACAGATTCTCCCGGTCATTCAACCCCCGCAATAAATGGCAGTCTGGGATTAAAAATTGGTCGAACCCAAAATCACCACCCAAAAACGTTCTTACAGCTAAATCGCGAACGTGGTCGGATTTTTCTCTCAATAATTGGAGATTCTTGAGAGGCGTGGAGGATTAATTAATCAACGTCGTGCGCGCTTTAACGCGGAACGTCATCCTCGCGCGTTCACGTGTGCAAGATAAAGAGATAATTGCGGTTAGTTGCGACACTCGGTGTGCTCGTGAACGGCGAAAAGCGAACGAGCTCTTTCTATGTGAGAGCTGCGGAGATTGATTTTAATTACGCGTTCTCTCCGGAAGCGACCGAAGTGCCGTCCGTTTTACTATGCAAGAAGACTGTCTCGTTCGCGATAGTGCGCATAATTACAGCGGCGAAACGAACGGACGCGTAAATTACAACTGCAGCGACTGTCGCTGTGCGAAATAAAGCATCGCGATAAAAGTCTAGTTAAAAATTTTATACCTTTTCATTTCGAAGGATTTACTTTTTCCTCATTAGAACGCCCGCAAATATTAATCATTGATACGAAACAGCTGTGCAAGCCGCCGATCTGTTGCCTTTGAACGTTTTGGTTTCGGGAATGGAAACGGTCCCGGATTAATTTTTTTTATTACTTTAACAAATATATAAAAATTGTTAAGTGATTTTACATATACTTTAACATCTGTAGAAAGTGCTTATAAAAGTTGTGTATTTAAAAAAATTTTAACTAATTATTTGCTGTTCATAATTTTTCGAAGAAATGAAATGTACAGGACGTGAATAATCCAATCGTGTATTCTAAGAGTTAAAGAGTTACGGAGATTTGGATTACACGGATTGCGAATGCGGTGTTGGATTGACTCGCGTGTCTGAATCCTTCAAAAAGGGCCGGTCGCAATCAACTTGAATCGTGCGAATTTGATCTGCAGGACGGCCTGAACAATGGTACCACCGGCGTCGAGATCAAGGTGGCGGACATTCAGAACAGTCCGCCGGAATTCTTGGATTCCTTAACAGGCGTGGTACGTGAGGACGATCCTATCGGGACCCTCGTGATGACCGTAAAGGCCCGAGATGGCGACAGAGGCATGCCGCGGAAGATGATCTACGAATTAGTCACTAGTGAGCATTCCATTTTCTTTCTCTTTTCATCGAAATCATACAAGTACAAATTCGTATTCCCATCCGAGTTAAAGCCGGACCTTCAAACTAAGGTAAATTTAATTGTATATACGTGAATTATAAACAAAGATAATTTATTGTAATGTAAAAATAATTTAGACGCTAGACAAATATAAGGCAACCCCACCTAATATAGCTTATCTAAGCGCTTTGCGCTTTTTTTGTAATTTTTTGCTGAGTCCAAAATTGAAAACTGCTGCTCAGATTCTTAAGGGAAAACATTTTTAAACATTAATTTAAAATATGAGGCATTTTTCAAATATTTACTTAGGTGCCGGTGAAGGTTAAGAAAAAGTGATATTTAGATCATATTGGGTATACATGTTATACGTTTACCTCTTTTTTATAAAAAAAAAAAAAGGTGTCAGAGAAATGTAAAATGGATTTAACGTTACTTTTATAATTTTATAACTTTTCTAACGTATGATATATTTATTGACATATAAAAAGCACAAAAAATTATTTTCCAAATAATCAACTTACCTACTTATCGACTTAACTTTACGATGTTTAACAGGTGAATTAAAATCCATGGTCTAAAATACCAAAAGTACCAACAGAAAGTTATTACAATCGATATGTATACACTTATTGTCGGTGTGTCTAAATTGGCCATATTGATTCTATCTTACAAAGAGTTTCCTCTCTTTGGTTATAAATAAAACGAACATGTAAACTAAATACGATGTTGTAAAGTGTAAATAAAGACATTACACACACACACAATAGTATAAACTACGGAAATTAATAATCACCACTTGATAGTTATAGACAGTAATAATTTTTAAAATATTAAATCACGACATTCTGCATTTGGCTTCACTGACGACAGATGGACAAATTAAGCAATTAGCTGAGCAATTAACGAAAGTCACATCTACAGCACCAGTAAGATGGTATTATTTGTCGAATTGTGAAACTACCTACAAACAGCGAGAAGATCATATTACAGTTACCTGACGATTAGATATACGAATCTGTACTTAATGTAGTAATATAATAGATCTAATTTTCATTGGTAGAAAGCTTCAACCGACACACGAAACACAGAATTTACGTAGGATTCATGATTTCGGGTAAAACGATT